TTGTGAAGAGCAACCGTCCTATCACATGCAAGGTTTCCTCAGAGGCAAAGAGGCAACAGCATCGTAGGTTAAGAGCCAACACGCATACTGCTCTATCCTGGGGCGCGTGAACATTCATGAACGCTATAACCTTTTGTTTCGCCAGGCAGAAGGCATCCCGGTGTGCTTCAAGACCTGAGTCAGATCCTTCTCCTCTGTGAAGCCCTGATGGATTATGGAAACTCTTATCTCCTCTGACTGGCTGGGGCATGCCCGGCCTGTCCACACATAGACACATCCTACCCCGCCCCCCCCCGCCCCCCACACTCTTCATTGTCTCTCTTCTCCATTCCTTCCCCTCCCTGCCTCCCTCCCTTGCTCCCTCCCTTGCTCTGCTCTCTCTCATCCCCCCCCCCCAGCTCTCCATAGGCTGCAGACCACCCCTCCTCAAGAGGATAGAGTTTATCCCTCCCAATAGTTTGATTTGATAGCATCTTGACTTCCAGGTGGCCACCTGACCCACAGACCAACTCATGGTGTTGAACATGTGAGTCTACTCTTGGGAGGCACCAGATCCAGTCAAAACTCCTCCAGCCTCTTCCACACTGGGCTATTTCAGATGACAGGCTCTAGTAGGCGGAGTATTTCATTCAATGGTTTCTTAGCTCCTTTAGACTTAATCTGACATAGTCATCTCCTTCAAAAAAATTGACCAATGGTCACGTTTTTCACTTTGTTTTTTGCTTTTGTGTTCGCTGTCCTGCAGAGTTAATGATCAAAACAAACGTCAGAGCTCCTTGCAACTATAAATTGTCCCTACACTGCCAACACCCCATTTCTGTAGTTCTCGCCCCACACTCACACAGATTATTAAAACTCATTTGAAAAATGTCTCCAGTTGCTTTTTAAGGATTTTTCCATTCTGCATTTCCCCCAGGGCAGCAAGGGAGGCTGGCCAAGGGAGATTCTCTAGGAGTTCACCCTCTGTTTCCTTTATAGCAGCTGAGAGAGGCACAGCCCTCCAGGAGCTAGCTTCCCAGGCCTGGCGGGAAATGCCAAATGGTGGGGGATGGGGATGATGAGGTAGAGACTAATATTTTTAAAGAGAAAAAATCATGGATGAAATTACTCAAGACAAGTTTTATGGGAGCCAGTCGGAAACAATGATTTCACAATGGGGATCACACACAGAATCTAAAAATGCCTGAGAATTTTATTTCCTTTAACTACAAAAACAAAAACAAAAACAAAAAGCAAAAACAAGCCCATCACTCAGTGGCTCTCCCATTCCTAGTGTTCTGCGGGTGAGGGAGAAGCATGAAAAGGCAGTTTCCGAAGTTGCTCGTTGTCCTAAGCCCTGACTTTGACCAAGCCCATAACCTGTAGAGCCTGGCAGGGTGCCTGGCCCAGTGAAGCAGGTTCACAGTCCAGTAGACTCTTGAACAATGTAGCAGATGGGGCACCAAGGCCCCATGGTCAAAAATCCCCATATAACTTTTGACTCCCCCCAAAGCTTTACCTATCGTCTACTGTTGAACAGAAGCCTTACTGAGAACAATAGTCCATTAACACAGATTTTATAGGTTCTATTATATATTGTACTCTTATAATAAAGTAAGCTAGAGGAAAGAAAATGTCATTAAGAAAACCGTAAGGAAGAGAAGATATGTTTACAGTCCTGTACTCTCTCAAAAATAACCCACATATAAATGGACCAGCCCGAACCCATGTGGGCTGAGGGTCAACTGTATTTCCATCCCCTCTACCAATCATCTGATCCCATAGGTGCAGGAATTTCCCTCTTCATCTCCCAAACACCCTCCACTGCCTCTCCTTCCTTGCTGTTGTTCAGCCACTATCATTTGCTTTTCTTCCTTCCAGATCCTTCAGAGAATGATCAGGGTACATGAACCAATGGCAAGTAGTACTGGCACAGAAAAGGCCAAATCATCCTTGAACCATACCTTCAGCAGGCTGTGGGGACCAGACCTAATTCATGACTTGACATCATGACAGGGACCAATAGGTTTACACAGTCATTGCCAGTGGTCACATGGCACCCCCACTTCACACACATCTAAGTCCCATCAGGCAACCTGTGTAGTGTATGGCCTGAAGAAGCTATGTGCAAACCAGCAGAAGGTTCTCAAAGCATGTTTCTATGGGGGCCCTTTCTTCCTACACCTTGAAAAACAAAGGCTCACCTAAAAATAATTAAACCCGACTTAGCATTATTGCTGCTTCGTGTGTCATAAAATAAAAGTCAAAGAAATCTTAATAGGATTGCAAACGGATCTCAGATTCCTTAATCATGTATCAGTCTTAGTTGAAACCAGGTTCAGGGTAACTCAGGAGTTGTCCTTTCTTTTCAGGAAAAATGAAACTAAAGCAGGACTGAGCTATGGCTACTGAGCCTGGCTCCCATTCCCAGCCCAGACTGACCCAATCCTCCCCTCCTCAAAGTCTGGCTTGAGTTTTCACCCCACTCAAAAGTCCAAGAGCATCCCTTCTCTGAGTCCTCTTGGTTTGAACACCCCATGCCATGCTGTTTGCTGCCGTTTACTTACAGAAGGAGTATAAACTCCCCATCACTTAAGGAGCAAACCCCTCCACTTTTTGCTGATAAGCCCAGAGCCAGCACCTACCTCACAGTCAGGTGAATGACTCTTTAAAACCATGACGACTGCTTGTCATAAGATAAGTCACATTTTCTAGAAGTTTGGGCTTTATAAAATGATATTTCATAAGACTGCTTTCATAGTAAGTTAAAGCCCTTTGGTAAGGTTAAAATGTGATTCACTTTTGAAAAATTAGATGAACATACATCTGTTGTTTAAAGTGGGGTGTCCTATGGTTCTACAAAAAATGGTGGCATGGGAGGTGGAGCAAAGGTGCTCCTATAACAGTGGCTGATATTGGCCTGAGAAAAAGAGTTAGTGAATCTCTAAACTACTAAAATCCCTTCTCTCCCAAACCTGCTCTCCAGCTCTCCAAACCCTAATATAATATCTCCATGTCAGTTTTGTTATGGCTCCATCATAAAGGAAATTCACAGTGTTACGCAACACCATTTTGTGCTCCAAAAGCTGCCATACAATTAGGAACCTTAGCCTTGGTGTTCTATAATACACCAAAGAGAACATTGCTGACATGGAAGACTTCCATTCCCACACTCATTCACCAAGAGGTGTAGGAAAGCTGACCCTCCATGGTGGCTCCCCAAGGATATTGGACCTCTTGGCAATGTGTCCAAAGAAAAAACTCCAGTGTATATCCCTACACAGGAAACCACCTCAGATAGTGAAAGAGAGGGCTACCTGCTAGAGGTAGGGGAATAGGGGGGAAAAGGTCCCCCTCCAGAGGGGACACTGTGCTGGGTCAGGCAAGAGAGAGTATGGGTGTGATATCAGAGCATGGTTCCACTGGACTGGGAGTTCCAGAGACCAGATGCCAAGTCCGTCTTGGCTAAAACAGAGTGTCTTAGGGGCAAAAGACTTTGACTCCTCTGAGTCTGATTTTCTCATTGGTGCAAAAAGTATGGAAAGAAGAACGTTGATCATATGATTGATCCTCTTTTCTCATTCTGGGCTCTGTGTATGTACTCATACATGCACAGACCTATAAATATTATGCATTACATAAAACATGCCAAAAAAAAAAAAAAGATTGCCAATGAGTCCTGTACTTGTTTGGAAAAGGGATATTCAGATTTTCAGAAGGTACTTCTTATTCTCCTGAGAGATCAGAGGGATAGGAAAAATGCCATTAGATCACTTTCACAGGGTGTAATAGGTGGTAGTATGGGTGGAGCTTAAGATAAAGTAATTGGGAAATGCTAGTTAAATAAAGGCAATCTCCGCCCCCCCCCCCCCATTGCAATTCTCCTCAAGGACTTTAATAAGAAAGTGTATGTTGAGAAAGTCTAGAAGAGGTCAGATTGCAATTTCCCAAACTATGGGCCAGAGTCTTTTATGCTTAGAGTTTCTCAAGTGATGAAGATTCAGAGAAATACCCTTTGAGAAGCGTACCAGAGACTGTAAATTCCCTGAGGTCAGAGACTGGGCCTTGCTTACCACTGTAACTCCACACCTGGTACGTGGGGAGAATTCAATTAAATATAATAAAATAAAAATTTGCCAAATGACCAAATGAGTAATTGTTGAATTCAAAGTGAAAGATGTCATTGCAGTGACATAGAAGTGGGAGTATGCCAAGGGGCAAGGGACTGTCTCTCCATGATGGCACCCTTCATTGTCTGGGCTCCAGATGGGCACAGGAAAGTTTCAGGTCAGGTTGCCTATGCCTTCTAAGGAAGATAAGAACTACAGGCACCATAAGGCATCCTAAAAGACTTTAGCTTCATGAAGAATGTTAGCATTTCTCTTCTTTACTAAGAATAAGTTTTAAAAAATCAATTATGATATTCACAGGTCAGACTCCATAATGCAGTTGCAGATTATTTTCGTTTCTTTACTGCCACCTTCTGGTTCCCAGGCTCCTACATGGTAAATTTACAATCACATATTTGTATTTCGCCAGGGCATTGTAATCACTTGTCCACATCTTCTGCCTCCTGTGACATTACACAAGTCAGGAGTGGTTAGGGTGGCCTCGACTCCTTTCATTTGAAGGCAACAGAGAACATTAAGTGATTTGCCTAATGATAGAAAGTTAGGAGTAGAACAAGGACTAATGATGACACCTGTTGGTTTTTCCAAGGAGCAAACACTGGATTTAGCCATTTGGTTTTGTCCAGCTACATCTGCAAAGAGTTCTAGTGCCCTTTCATCCCTCCACACGCACAACCTTGAATGGAAAATTCCATTAAAAAAAGAGTATGCTGTTCAAATACGCCTGATCTTTTCAAGGGTAAAATCTGTTCCATTTTACAAGGCCTATGAGAAAAGAATATAGAAGATCTATCTAGAGGGCATATAATTGATTTTATTTTTATCAAGATGCCATCACATCACACAGTACTAGCCCAAGATGGCGGCCCACCAGCTTCTTCCTAGACATACCTTGGTCTGAAAGCAGCAATAGAGTTGGGTTAGGTATGGGTGTTTCCGCGCCAGCGCCAAAATCCTCTTCTCTGTCATCGTGCAGTCTACGTCATCATCCTGGAGGATGACATCCTTCTTTAAGACCTTCACAGCATACACTTCATCTTTGCCTTTCAGCTCCGCCAACATCACCTGCAATGGACCCAAACCACTCCATCAATCTATATACACGTGGAATCAAAAGAAAAGACACAAGTCAATACCAAATGCTTTAAAAACTAACTTTTTTCCCCCTTCATTTTGAATAGGATAACATTAAAAAATGTTTAGAAAAAATATCCATCCTAATACAGCTTCTCTAACTCATTTATTTATGTTTAACCTCCAGCAAAGGGCCACCGCAAAATAAAAAGTTCAACACATATCTGTTAAATAATTCATATGTTCACATATATTTGTCATACAATTATAGTATTGCACAAATAATATTTAACTGACATTAATAAGATGATAAGATTAATAAGATCTACATTGTCAGCATCATTATCAAGGTTGCTTACACACAACTGAAGTAAACATATTATGATTTATTTAACCATTTAACTCATATTAGGCACTTAAGCGAAAGCTGATTATTAAATGCTATAGAAATAAATTGGATTGTTTTTGTGATTATTTCTTCCTTTCTTCCTTTCTTTCTTTTTCTTTTTGGAAAATATCCTTAAGCTAGAAAGTCTTAGAAGTAGATTATAAGGTTAAATATTTTGCACATTTTTTTCAAATGGATGTAAAATATAATCTGCCACTAGGAATGTAGAGATGTTTTAGTTTCATGGCAATGTACTCACATTGGGTGTTTTCACTTAAAAAATGTTTTTGCTCATATAACAGGTGCGAAATATAACCTCAATGCTGTTTAACTTGCAATGAAATTTTAAAAAAAATTTTCCTTAAATTGTATTTGTGTGAACCATCAGTTTTATATGCAAGACAACTTTGTCTAGTTCTACCTACTGTTTTATATTATTTCCCTATGAATTTGTATGAGTTTGGTATATAAAGACACATTTTGCTTTCTGCAAAGTTTTGTCTAAGCCTGGTTTATGATTTTCTGTTCGATAGCAAACAGGATCACTTGTCCTTATGTAGCTAAATCTGTCACGTTTGCCTTCGTGGTTCTTTTATAGTGTTGTCGCTGGGAATGTGATTCCTTCCACAAAAAGCAAACTCACAGTTCTATTATCTTCAAGTTTTCCTATCATTTGATATTTTTGTACTAATTTCTCCATGACATGACAAGTCTTTCTCCTTTTAAACACTCAAGTCCTACACCCAGTATTCCAGGGTGAGCTGCCAGGGCTCAAGAGCAATAATAACTCAGAAGCTTCAAGAGGGAATTCAGGGCACTAACTGAGGATGTTTCATTGCCCACACGTAACGCAAAATCTTGAAAACTGGCTCAAATATTGGCTGTGATTTTTCTTAAGAAACAACCTATATGCTCCAGAACCATCCAAGTTCCCATCCTGCCCACATAGTACGGAGACCTGAAAACCCTGAGCCTGCTTGTTTCCCCTGAATCTTGTTCAAAATTAAGCTCACTCACAACCTGGGGTTACACCTGGGACCAGGGCACTGGGGCCGGTTTCTTATTTACGCAGTCTGTGAAGAATGTGATTGCTTCAGCACCTGCATTTAGGTACGCTCCTCCAGTTACCTTCCTGCAACCGCAATCTCAGGATGAGATGGGGCAGGTGGGGCAGGTGAGGCAGGTGAGACAGGGGGAGGCAGGCCCACACCCTGGAGGCTTCCAGAGCCATTCTGTTCAGCGAGCAGCAGAGTGGCTGGCTGAAGGGCAACCTGCTGCTTTCCAGAGTCCAGGACATGTGAGGGCACATGACTTGGGAGCCGCTGGGCCCAGTTGCTGAGCCCCGGAGGAGGGCATGGAAAGGCACCTCCCAGGGACTCTAATCTTTGCAGAGCACAAGGGAATATTCAGGGATCTCAGCTGAAATGATAGCCAGCATTCTGGGCCCTCTGCCCTTCCATCTTCTTTCTAAAATCAACAGGGATTATATCCCCACGTCACTGTGCCATTGGCATGCTGCTTGGTCACCATGAAAGCCCCATGGCCACATGTGGCACATATACCTCATACGGCTCTGCTCGTCTCCATGTGGGGAAGGGAAGGGAGAGCAGTACCAAGGGAAAGATCCAAGACATGAGATGATTACTCTCATTTCTTGCCACGTGTGGAGGATAAACAACATTTAGTAAGTGCCAGAAAAGTCAGTTAAATAGCATTTAACTTCCAAGATAATATATGCTCAGATTTGTTTTGAGCTCTAAGTTCACGGAGGGCAGATTCCAGAGTTCATTCTCAAAGTCTCTGTCATGAATTAAAGCCAGAATTTCAGATGGATCTCTGAAGAAGGGAAGAAATAAAGTGCTACTATCACAGATAACGGGATACCAAGCATACATAAAGCAATTTAAACTTTCCCAAGGGCTTTCTTCCTTTTTTTTTTTTTTTAACCCAAGACCTCACTTGATGCCTGTGTCCCCATTTGGCAAATGAGAACACTGGAGTCCCAAAGAATTGAAGTGACTACCTTGAAGTCCTTCAGCTAATTAGCAGCAGATCCCAGGCTCCCACCTGCGTGGCTGCAGGCCTTTTCCACCGAACAAGGAAGGAAGCCACGACAAGACCAGGCTGAAATGCTCACAGCTTAATCTTAGATCAGACAGATGAGGCAACGCCACGGGGCAGAGAAAGTCAGCAGTTGTACCCACGCACGCCACAGACCTTGCCAAAGCTGCCTTTGCCCAGCACCTTGATGAAGGTGAACTCATCCAGACCCAGGCGCTTGGCCTGACCCTGCCGCACTTCGCCATTCTCGCCGGGGCTCGCCAGCTGGCCATCGCCGCATGCTGCTGCCCTGTGTTCCTCCCCTCGGTTGTCAAAGGACAAGGCCTTCCGGATGTTGTTTTCAAGTTCTTTTATTTCTAGGGCCAAGGGTGACAAGATCTCACATTAGTGCATACCCTCAAGATCCCTTCCCACTAGGACTCAGCACTCAGACCGCCCCCCTAACCCCCACCATGAGGTCTCAGCCTGCTTTGGATTCTTCATAGCAACAGATCCAGCGTGGGCCTTCACACGGTCCGTCATTTGCTCTACATGCTTCCATTGGCACCTAACATATGGCAGGGTCTGGGTATGCAAAGAGGAGGAGGACACAGCTCCCACCAGCCAACACCTTCAGATTACACAGAAACCCACGGCCCTCTCTCTAAAAGCCCCCTTTGGCTAGTGGCTTGTTCTGTTATTCTAGGTGTAGTGCAGGAATGCTGACCTTCTCTGGAACCCTGCAGAGTCTCAAAGACAACAGGCACCCTTTGAGTTCCCTTTGAAAAGTAGAACAATGACTCATCAAGAATAGTCATCACGGTAATCATTGGTCATGTAACTGTATAGAAGCCTTTCGAAAGACTGGGAAGCCTTTAACTTCTAAAGGATTTTACTTGGCCCTATTGTTGCATTTATTTTAATACCCATCTCCCACAAGGTTCTTGAACAAGATGAGCCACGGGCTTATCATTAACTCAAGATGAGTTCCCGAGAGTGACATGTTGCAAATTTATCTCAGACGGGGCAGGGATTCCTCGGTACTATTTCACAACCACGGGGCAGTCTTGTGCCCCTGCAGAGCATGTGACCTAAACTACCTGGCGGTGATAACACTGGATGACCCTTGACCTTTCCTGTTTGAGCAAGCTCTATTGTTAGCTATTCATTCACCAAGACACACACCCCTCAACGCAGAACTGGGCACCACAAGCATAATCCAATTTTAAGAGATGCTCATGAATACTGGGATGCTAGAAGGGGAACACAATCCATTAACCCTTGGGAATCAGAATCAGGTGCTGCTTGACATAAAGAGATCTTCAGCTTCTTTTCAGAAGGACGAGGCCCATAAGAGCTCGCTCCAGGAAGGGAGATCTTTCTCAGATCTGCTGGGGCAGAGGGGAGGGAGGGGTAAGGAAGGCTCCTGAGTCCAAGGCTCTCCCCTTGCCAATTCAGCCATTTCCTATCACTCATTCCCTATGGAGTATAAACTCTAGTCTCAGCAAACAGCTAAAAGTCTCAGTTTCCAAGGCAAACTATTAAATGTATTTGGGAAAACAGAACTTGGGCGTTTAGGGACTCCAAAGCTTGAAGAAAAAGTCATTCTGTGTATTCTTACAAGGGAAGGAAGAGAATCGGTGTATTATCTTGGTGCTGTACCAATTCTGTGTCTTGCTTAGAGGGCCTTTGCGTCTATCTGTGCCCACACCACTGCTGGCTAATACTGGTGTGTGTGCTGAGCAGAGACACACAGGTAATAGGTCTGGGCAGCATGCCAGGCAGGAGCCAGGCCTAGAAGCTACATTCTACCTCACTCTCACTGGGGTGTCTACCATATAACACTGTCTCCTTGAAGTTCTCGAAGGAAGACTCAGCACTACACATGAAAACATCCATGTGGATTCCAGGATGATACCTGCAAGTTTGGAGGACCCAGCATCACACCATTGGATTATGAACGGGTCCAATCTTTTTTGCAATGAGGCAGAGAAGAAATCTAATCAGAGCAGTAAGAAGAGGGACTCAGGCCAATTACTCTGTGGCCCTGCAGCTATTTTGTTTACTCCTGGGTAAGCTGAAGTGGGTCACCACAATGACCCTCAGGGAGGGTCTGACGGCGCTGATTCAGAGACTGGGCTCCCAAAGCCAGAAGGGGTAAGGTCTCGCCCTCATCGCTGACTTAGTTCCAGGCCTATGGACAGAACTTTTGGACTTTCTGATCTTCCATTCCCACCCTGTGACACAGGGACAGGGATGGAGCAGTGAGACAGAGTTGGTGTGAGCATAAGATTTAGATACTGAACACAAAGGGGCACTCCTGTCACGCATGCAACGATGGTTATGTTATCCCTGCTCTGCAAAAGCAGCACACATCCCTCTCCAGGGACGTCTGGTCATCAGAGGGGAAGGTTTTCAATGTGCTGGCCTCCACTCAGCATTCTGGAATGCCTGCGGAATTCAGTAACTTTGACTACGTTAAGCATATTCTTATAAGAAAGAAGGGCACATCCTCAGCTGAGCTTTAGGAAGGGTCAGGCCTAGAGCTGGCTTCCTCCCTCTTCTTAGTCTGTTCTTGGGCTCTGAGCTCCTGTCCCTGCTTATCCATAGGCCACAGCAGGAGGCGACCCCCTCCCCCAACCCTTGCCCTGCTCTCAGGTTTTGGGGTGATGATCAGAGTCAGGAAGGAAGGGAGTGGTGGCACGCAGCTGAGTGGCACAGTGGATGGAATGACAGGTATGGGAGCAGGCTGTGGGGCACTTTCCTATACTTGGAACCCTGGAAAGAGGTGAGGGTAAAGAAAGAACCACATCATCACCTCTCTTTCTCTCTTGCCCTGGGGCCTGGTCAGGGTTTAATAGCTATTTAAGAGTCTCTCCCTCAAGACAGCCTTGCAGAGAGAAAGAGCAGCTAAGGAGTAAGGAGAGGGTGTCTGAAGCCCTTCCTGGGCCGTCGTTCTGGCTAACAAGGCCATTCTTGGGTAGAGAGGCCTCAACCTCCTCAGTGCTCCCGATGACATTGCTCAGAGGAAAGCAGATCTGAGGGCCTCACCCTGGTCACAAGGGGAGGTGGGGGCTGACTTGGATCGATCTTCCTCAGATGGCGAGCTTCCAGAAGTGGGCTGCGGGGACTCAGCGCCGGCAATGAGCTAGAGAGAGGGAGAGAAAGAGGGAAGACGTGAGAAGGGAGGTGGGAGCTTCCCTGATACCAGAAGCATGGGGCTGCTGTGCGGAGCAAGGGCTGTAGGAGGGGTCCAGGCTGCGAAGCAGCACCTGCTGAACTGATATTCTGAAAGCAGACTCCACTTTCATTTGACAGTTAAAGGGGGACTGTACCGGGTGCTATATGGAAGCGGCGAGTCTCTATATCATACACCAGAATCTAATATTACACTGAATGTTAACTAACTGAAACAAAAATTAGAGAGAGAGAGAGAGAGAGAGAGAATGCAGTTTGTTTCATTTTCATTCTATCCAACCACAACCGACCTAAGCAAAGCACAACTGTCCCCCTTCCATAAAAACCTCCCTCACCTACGCAAGCAACGCAAGTTACGGCACCCAAAGCAACTCAACACTTGTTTCTAACACCTGTTGGGCACTTATCCATCATCTTGTTCAGCTGTATTTAGTTAATGGCATCTGCATGTGGATACTGTGTAGGGCTCTCAGGTAGACTATAGTCTCTTTGAAGGTAAGACTATCCAGTATTTGTGTTGCTCCTGGTGCCTTGCACAAAATGATACCTTTAGTAGGAGCTCAATAAATATTTTTAGATGTATTGATATTGGTTGGCAAATTTTAATAGAGCACCCCCCAGGGAAGCCTATTTCCTGGCACAGATGCTGGCACACCCATCTTAAATTCCCACTAAAATCAGAGTTTTGGACTAAAGTGGGTCATGAACAGTTTTTGCTTTATTTTACTCTTGATCTTGTCTGCACACGTCCTTTCTGGACAATGGAGTACTTGTAAGGGGCAACATGAAGACAACACCCTAGGAAGCCTAACATTCTTGCAAAGAAGCCCTTTTAGCTTTTCTGACCAACGGTACTTCTTTCCCTTCCTCTCACATGAAGTTGAGCTACTACTTGGGTCATGTGGCTTTTTCCAGCTTTTGCACCAGAAGCAATACGTCAATAAAAATATCAGAATCCTTTAGTCCTTAACTCTGTCTCTTGAATTTCTCCATGTTGGCCTCTTACCCCAGGTTCCCCCAAATCTAAAACAGACAGATGATGTCTGCTTATTGGCATTATGGCCCATGTAAGTCGGAGAGAGAGGGCAGGTGTGTATTGCATTTTCTCTTAAATGTTTCATGACAATAATGATTCTGTCTCAATTTACTTCTAGCAAGGAATAAAGCCATCTCTCCTGAAAAGGCCCCTCCCTAGAGCTCATAAATGTGTGTGTCCAACACTGTCATCACAGGGCGTTTGTTTAACCTGCCTCTTTGGTGGGGGCCTAGCATTCTTGGGTGCTGACATTCTGCTTACAATTGCAATGTCTTGGGTCAATAACTAAAGCCCTGTTTCTACTAGTGGGATTTACAGAGCTAAGAGCCACCAGAAGCACAAAATCTCATAGCTAACTCCAACCAGAGAGAGAGAATTCTTTTTTTCCAACCCTTGCAAAACAGTTTTGCTTGTTGGGAAGGTAGAGAGAGGAGTTTAAAGAGATGGAGACAATCCAAACCTCCCTATTCAGGGGAAAGAGCTCTCCTGAGATGCACCAGGGAAAAGGTGGACAGTTCTAAAAGGAGAAGGAAAACAGAGTTCTTCAGAAGATATTTCAGGGCAGGATCTAGGGAGAATATTTAGGAGTCAAAATTCTAGAGCACCCCAAGGCAGACTTGCTTTTCTGGTAAGTGCTTGAGAATGCCTGAAACTAGGAAACGAGGGTCACTGCCTACCCCCGACCCCCACCAGGATTTCTTGCCCAGTTAACATGGTTCCGATTTTCTCATAACTTACTTTTTGGAAGACTCTTACATTTTTCTAGGCTGGAAGCCAAGGCCAAGGAGGACCTTCAAACGAAATGCTATGGATGCCTTTAGCTCCATTTACATCTGCGGGCCCTGGCTTACCAAAATAACATCTTAGCCAATGGACCTCTTCCTACTGACATTCAGAATGTCACATGGATAGAGACATGGGTCTATGGAGACATGGAGACTTTGGGTCTCTAAAGAAAGGCCCAGATGTTTCATGTGGTGGGGCATTAACAATATCCTCTAGGCGGCTGAGTGCCAGCACTACCACAAATCTTCTTGGCCTGCTCCCTAGGAAAGAATGTGGTCCCAACTCTTCATCATCCATGTATCCTCATTACGGTGATGCCAGGGGCAAAGTTCAAACACTAACATTGCTTTCGTGCTAGTTCTGGATGCAGATACACCTACTTCCTCTTCTAGAACTGTGCTTTTTCTAGAGAGAACTCCAAAGTCCTCATCTCAGAGATTAGGTTCCCCTGAGGAACAGGACACTTGAGATTTGCTATTTGCTTTGTTTTCTCCCTACTTCTGGAACAAAAGGAGACTTTAATGTCACCTGCTTGACCACTTTTTTTTCTTTCCTTTAAGCATATGCTGTTTTGAGTACAGTCTCAAACCCAGGGATCTCAGAACCTCACTCCAGGGGGGCTCTTGGGAAGCCAGCACGGAGAGCCCCGGAGACACCACCAAATAGGCAGTTACCTTTTTCCTCCTCTGGCCACTGTTGGTGATTTTGTCTGGAGTGACGCCTAGATCAGCCAAAACCTTGGCAATGCCTCTGGCGTCCACTCCACAGTTGGGGGCCACGTTGGTCTCACAGCGCCGGTGAACATTCATCTTGCAGACTGTAAGGAGACACGGAGAGGAGACTTCCAATGTTCATGACCGAAAATGTTACCTTGTTTTATTTTTTTAATTAATTAACTTTATTTTCTTGTTTTGTTTTTTAATTGTACAAATAATACATGTTCATTTGATAGAATTTGGAAAATGCAGAAAAGAGAAAAATAAAAACTACCCATCATCTCATCACACAGAACTAAAAGCATCCATCAAACCACCATCCAAAGACAACCACTGTTTATGGATAAATATCACATTATATTTCCCTCTAGGGAGCAGAACACTGACTATAAAAGAACTTAACTGGTTTATTTGGAGAAAGTCCATTTGGATCCTGAGCACAAATGGGTTGCATATATACAGTGCATACTACTTTGCTAAAATGTGGGAGTATTACCAAGAGAGAAATATGCACAGTAGAGCCTACTGAGATGCTGATCCCAACATGAGGACATTGAACGAAGTGACCTCCAATGTTCCTTTCAAATCAAAAATCCAATTTCAAAGGAACAAAAGTCATGCTTCAAAGTCTTCTCCCCACCCCCACCCCCAATCACTTAGTTGTCAGTATAGGATATCAAAAGTGAAAAACATCAACTGGTTTCCAGTCTAGCATGTAAGGCACTAAGACAACGTCATTCGGTCCTTACAAATACAAAGCTGAACAAATTGAAAAATCAAAAACTCTTCTCAGGTCTACCAGAGAAGTAAGGTCACAGGGCACACTGCTGCCACCAAAATGACCAAGACAGACAGGCAGCTACCATGAACCACAACTCACTAGGCAGAAACTCCCCAGCAGCAACCCCTGTGGGAACCAGCACCAGGGCAGGGGAATTGGAACTGAAATTGACAAAACATGGGAGTCTCGAAGTGGACAAGGCTGAGTCCAAACCCTGAGCAGACCCAATTAGAGGGGGCCCTCACAACTTTGTCCATTTTGCTTCTAGGAGTTTGACCAGGTTCTCACAGTGAACATTGGGGAAATATTACCTTAAGTTTCTGCCAGGGGAGGGAAAAGGAACCACTGAATACTCAGTTCTTAACAAGGCCTGCTTTTAGGAGAAACTATTTTACCGCAGCCTAAACTATTGTAGTTTTATCAGATCCTACCTGACCCTAGGGGTAGGAAAATACCCTACTCTAGCCTGTTTAGCTTTCCCTGTGGGAGAAGGGAAATACCCAACCCAGTTCCTTCTAGCTAGCTTTCCATGTGGAGGGAGAAAAGTACCCAACTCCAGCCCACTCCAGTCATTCTGTCCCACCTAAGTGGGGAGGAAAAAGCCCCTTGAGTAACACTTAAAAGCTTATAGTTCAGAGGCACAGGTTCATGGAAAGACTGAGATCCAATCATAAGACTCTAGAATGTTTTCCCTCTCCCCCACATTCACCAACACATTACTAAAGGCCTATTTCCTGCAATTCCTTTTACCCAGTACATCATGCCCAGCTATCAAGAAAAAGTTCGAAGACATTCTAAAAGGCAAACACACACAGGTTGAAGAGACAGAACAAGCATCAGAACCAGATTGAAACAGGGCAGGAATATTGGAATTATCAGACCAGGAATTTATTTATCTGTTTTAAAAATTTATTTTAATTTACTTTTTAAAGAACTTATTTGTGAGAGAGAAAGAGGGAGCAGAGGGGCAGAGGGGAAAAGGGAGGGAGAGGCAGACTCTGCACTAAGCACAGAGCTTGATCTCACAATCCTGAGATCATGAGCTGAGTTCAGACTAAGAGTCAGATGCTCAACTGACTGAGCCTCCCAGGAGCCTCTCAGACCAAGAATTTAAAACAGCTGTGATTAATATACTAAGGGCTCTCATCAATAAAGTAGATAGCATGTAAGAACAATGCACCATGTAAGCAGAGAAATGTAAATTCTAAGAATCAAAAGGAAATTCTAGAGATCCAAAACATTGTAACCGAAATGAAGAATGCCATTGCTAGTCCCACTGGTAGAATGACACAGGTGAGGAAATAATCTCTGAGTTTGAGGATACATCAATAGAAACTTCCAAAACAGAGAAGCAAAGAGAAAGAAAAGACTAAAGAAACAGACTAAGAACTGTGGGTATCATGTGTGTGATGGAAACACCAGAAGAAGGAGAGAGAGAAATAGAAGAAATATTAAAGCAAAAATGACTGAGAATATCCTCAAATTAATGTCAGACACCAAACCACAGATCCAGCAAGCTCAGAGAATACCAAGCAGGATATATGACAAAGACAAAACACAATAACACACTTCACCTAGGCCTATCATACACAAACTTCAAAAAACCAAAGATAAATGAAAATAATCTTGAAAGAAGCCAGAAGGAAATAACACCTTGACCTACAGAGGAGCAAAGATAAGAAGTGCATCTGACTCATCCCCAGAAACCATGCAAGCAAGAAGATAACAGAGTGAAATATTTAAAGTATTGAGAAAACCCCCCACCAACATAGAATTCTGGACCCTGTGAAATTATTCTTCAAAAGTGAGGAAGAAATAAAGACTCCTTCAGACAAATAAAAACTGAGGGAATTCATTGATGGTAGACTTGTGTCATAAGAAATGTTAAAAGCAGCTCTTCAGGGAGAAGGAAAACTATCAGTGAGAAACTCAGATCTACATAAAGAAAGACTATTGGAGAAAGAATAAAAGCTTTTATTTTCCTTAATCTTCATTGCTCTCAAAACAGTTCCTCAAAACAATAGCAATGATATATTTAGGTATGCACACTTATATGTATATAGGTATGTGTGTTTATGGGTAAGTGAATGATAGCACAATACAAGGAATGGGAAAAATTATGATTATTTTGTTATGATAATGTACTTGCATTACCTATAGACCATTCTGAATGTTACTTGATTTGGATTCATTGTAAATGTATATTGTAAACTCTAGGGCAACCACAAACATAAGTAAAAAAAAAAAAAAAAGAGGAGTAACTAGTATGCTAAAAAAGGAGAGAAAATGGAACCATATGAAATATTCAACTGAAAATACAAAAAGTAGAAAAAAGTGGAAAATGAAAATAGGAACACAGAACAAGTGTATCAACTGGAAAACAGGAGAAAAAGTGGTAGTTATTAGTCCAACTATATCAATAATCATTTTAAATGTCAATGGGCTAAATACAGTTGACCACTGAAAACACAGGGGTTAGGCATGTTGACCCTCTGCATAGCCAAAAATCCAAATAGAACTTTAACTTCCTCAAAACTACACCCATTAACTACTAATGGCCTTCTGTAGACTGGAAGCCTTACAGATAATATAAATAATTCGTGAAACATATTTTGTATATAAAATGTACTATATGCTATATTCTTTCAACAAAGCCAGAGAAAAGAAAATGCTATTGAGAAAATACTAAGGAAAATACATTCACAGTACTGTAAAAAAAAAATCCACACATAAGTGGACCTATGCAACTCAAACCTGTGCTGTTCAAGGGTCAACTGTACGTCACTTAAAAGAGATTGTCAGAGTGGATCAAAAAACAGGATAGACCCAATTATATTTAATCTAGAAAAAACATACTTTAGATACAAGACACATGTAGATTAGAATTAAATCCATGGAGAAATATATACTGTGCTAACACTAATTAAAAGAAAGCAGCAGTAGCTATGTATTATTATAGACAGAGCAGACTTTAGAGTAAGGAAAGTTATCAGAGACAGCAAAGGGCTCGATTCTCAAAGAAGATTTTAAATCTTTAATGTGCATGCACCTAACAGCAGAGTATCAAAATATGTGATGCAAAAACAGAACTGCAAGAGGAAATAGATGAGTCTACTATTGTGGTTAAAGACTTTAACATTCCTCTATCAGAAACGGACAGATCCAGAATGCAGAAAATCAATAAAGACATAGTCAAAGTCACAGCATTATCAATGAACTAAGTATAACTGATTACTATATCTAGCACTACTTCATTCAACAGCAAAATACACATATTTCTCAAGCTTACATGAACATTTATCAAGATCACATTCTTAGCCATAAAACAAATGTTACCAAATTTAAAATAATTTAAAAAACATCATACAATGTCTGCTCTCAGACCACAGTGGAATTAGTGATCAAAAACAGGAAAATGGTTAGAAAATATTCAAATGCTTGCAAATTAAATAACACACTAATAAATAACATCTGGGTAAAAAAGGAAATCTCAAGAGAAATTTAGAAATATTTTGAACTGATTGAAAGTAAAAACACAACTTCTCATAATTAGCAGTATACCTCAAAACCATTCTTTTTTAAAAAAGATTTTATTTATTTATTCATGAGAGACAGAGAGAGAGAGAGAGGCAGAGGGAGAAGCAGGCTCCATGAATGAAGCCCGATGTGGGGCTCAGTCCCAGTACTCCAGGATCACGCGCTGAGCCAAAGGCAGACACTGAACTGCCAAGCCACCCAGGCATCCCTCAAAACCATTCTTGAAAGACACAAACTACTAAAACTCACAAAATAAATACATAATGTAAAAGGTCAATATCTATTAAAGCAATCAAGTCAATAATTAATAATTTCCCAAAACAGCACCAGGCCCAGATGGGTTGACTAGTGAATTTTACTATTTAAACTAGAAATTATACCAATTCTCTACAATATTTTCTAGAAGATGAAAACAGAAGGGACATTATAAGAAAAGACAACTACAGCCCAACATCTCTCATGAATATAGATGTAAAAATCCTCAACATACTAGCAAATTGAATCCAATAATGCATAAAAAGAAATATAAACCATAAATAAGTAGGATTTATTTCAGGTATGCAAAACTAGTTCAACATCTGAAAATCAATTAATGTAATCCTTCAGAGCAACAAGCTAAAGAAGAAAAAAATCACATAATCCTATTGATAGATGCAGAAAAAGCATTTGGCAAAATTCAAGACCCACTCATGATCAAATCTCTTAGCAACCAAGAAATACAGAAAAAATTTCTTAATAAAGAATATCTACAACAAAACTACAACTAATATCATACTTCCCCAT